CAGGTTTCCAAACTCTGACAGCATACTGGAGGCCATTCCGGTAAAGCTCGGAATAAAGTCGGAGAGACTACACCCTGATGAGCTTTTCATTCTAATAGGGGTGGAATGTTTAGGAGCCTGTGTAAATGCACCAATTGCTCAAATAAGTGATAACCGTGAGGATTTGACACCTAAAAATACTGGGATCAGCAAATGGCGTAACAGTTTCATTGCTGAACTCCCACATGGCTGATTACAGTTCAGACCCGGTGGCTTGAAACTCACGTCAGGCGCATGTGCGTGCGTGCCCAAAATCCTGAGAGGAGAATGGAGGAGAAGGGATTGTGGCGTGACCATCGCCCTGGGTGGTGATTTCTTGCTTTCTGTCTCTCTCTCTCTCTCTTTCTTTCTGGTGGGCGCACATGCCCTATAGCAAAAATCTCTCTCTAAAAAAAAAAAAAAGATATTGAAAAAATTATTAATAAGCTTGAGGCTAGCAAAATGCCAAAACCTGGGCCAGGGGGTAGGTGACCCTCTTGTGAGCCAGCTGAAGGTCTTACCTCTCTGATGGAACCACCCAAAAAACCTGACTTTGATGTGTAAAGAGGCCTTTAATTTATATTTAAGTGTACATATGTCACTGGAGAAAGAAAATAGAAACCTCCTGCCTACACTTAACAGAAATAAATAAATTTTTATCAATGAATTGTCTTCCATAAAAGGCCAGGAAAATAATCTCCTAATAAACCTGGAGGAGAGTGATATAAATAAAATATTTAAACTGAAAATAATGTAGAATTTTAAGTCTTACTTTTCAAAATGTTTTTTAATGTTTAAAACTATTCTTAACAAAGATCATGTATTCTGTTCTCATAATTAAAATAATTGAAACAGGGGCTGGCAAGTGGCGTGGTGGTTGAGGGCGCTGGACTCCCACATGGCCGACCACAGTTCGAGTCCCAGACCTGGAGGCTTGCTTTCTCACTTTCTCCTTCTCTGTCCCTCTCTGGTAAAATTAAAATAAATAAAAGAAAAGGTAAAAGAAAAAAAATTGAAACAAAAAAATGGCATTGTAATTATAAACTGAATTTTGCAGCCCTAGGACACCTTGGACCAGCATGGTTTCCTTCTTTCTTTTTTTTCTTTGAATTAACTTTGTTTATTTATTTATTTTAATTTGACCAGGAAGGGACAAAGAGAGAAAGAGAAAGTGAGAAAACAAGCCACCAGGTCCAGAACTCGGACCGTGGTCGGCCATGTGGGAGTCCAGTGCCCTTAACCACCGTGCCACCTGCCGGCCCCACGTCACCCTGGTTTTTCCTCCACATTTCACTGTCGTCCACCCAGCTTCTTCCCTCACCAGCACGCAAGTTCTTTTCCCTCCCTGTCAGCCAGACAAGCAGATGGGAGGGCAGGCGCACCTTCCTGGTCAGTAGTGCTCGATTCTTTGATGTGAAAGGAGCAGCACAGTCACTTAAACTTGATGCAACCTCTCCGCATCCTACAAAGTTGAACGGCCAAAAGAAGTAAATACGAAGGCAGTGCCTGTGGGATGGACAGCGCTCATCGGCGGCGCACGCCTCATTGCGATTCGTCTGCTTCCTTCTATTCCTTTCTTTAGAAGGCAGTGGATTTTTCTCTGGCGTTTCTGTCTTCAGTTTCGACTTCTCAAATTTCTTCGTCTCAGCTGTACTGGGTTCGTTGAACATGGTAGCAGAGGAAGCTGAATGAGGTGTCGAGAGTGATAGCTGATCTGTACAGTGGCTACGGCCAAGTCACTTGTCAAGACTTTTCTATGCTGATGTTCTGGAAAAATATTAATCACTAAGAAAACAGAGAAAGACACATATATGGGAAACACACTTCTTTTTTTGGCTGCGGTCCAGGTTCTGCAAGGGTTGGCGAGGCGATGGTTCTCAGTAGATGTGTGCCGATCTGGGGATTCCTGTGCTGTCTCTTCCAAACAGGCCTCCACGACATGCGAACCTGACTGCTTTCATCTGGAAGGTGTGACCGTGTGAGGGGCCTTCAGGAGGCTGGTGAGGAAGACTGTTTTGACTAGGGGGCTTTTCACTGACCCCCAAATCAAGCCATGAGGGCTGATTCTTAGGAGCACTAGTTTCTCCTATGCCTGGATGGACCTTGAAAAAGAACTCTTCAAGAAGGAAGAGAAATGTTGAGATTGAAAAGAGGAAGAAGCTTGGGTGAGGACGGACTGTTCCTCCTCATTCCCTAGGCCTCCAACCCCAGCATGGACAGCCGGCAGCCCCCACATGTGCTCACTGTTCTCACTTCCACCATCGCCCACCATTCCCACTAGGAGCCAGGGACAATGGTGTCTCAAATACAGCCAGTGCCACGTGCCTTCTCCAGGTGCCAGGCAGTAGCCAAGGCCAAGCTTCTGCAGCTAGTGCACTGTCTGCCTCTTAGCAGGAGTCTGACAGCTGGGAAGGTGGTTGGGAGGCACCCTGGAGCTAAGGCACTGTGTGGAAGCCAAGATAGAGGGGCTTCTGCTTCTACTTCTTTTACTGAACCAGCTGAGTCATTGGCCTAAACCAGCTGAGTCATTGGTCTAGCTACCTTCCTTCTCTCAGCCCAGATGTTCTCGATCTAAGGAGGCCTCTGAGGACCCCTCTGGTCTCAAGGGTCTACAGGCTTAATGTAAGTGGTTGCAAGCAAGTCCCCTCTGTAGAGATCACCTAAATTAAGGATAATCTTTTTGGGAGCAAAAATAAAAAGAGGCTTGGAGAAGAATTTCAGAGGGTTCCCAAACACACAGGAAAGACTGACCACACACACTTATCTTCTCTTACACGTATCTTAGCCTGATGGCCTCTGGGCCACGCTGCCTGGGTGTGAGTTCAGGCTCTGCCCTCTGTAACTGACTGACCTTGGGCAAGGACCTATGTGTTTTCTCACCCGTCAAACAAGGACAGCAATAGGGCCTGCCTCTTCATTGGAGAGGGCTACTGAGGCCGTCCTTGGGGAGAAGTACAAGGGGGCGTAGAGAGAGGTGAGTGTAATTAAAATAGAGATGAGGCTAAAGGTGGCTGTGGAAAGGAGGCCCCACTGGCTGTGCGGGGAGGCCAGCCCTGGAAGGAGTGCAGGGCAGGCGGTGCAGAGCCATGTGGAAATAGGAGCACAAAGAAGGCAGAGGACCTGCGGGCCTGTTCACACAGCATGGAGCGGGCAAGGAGGGAACCACAGCGGGATGACCTGAATCAATATGCCAGGGTGACCTCTGGTTTAAGAACCTCTCATAGACTCACTGGCCAGTGTATGTGGCTAGATTACTGTTCCTTGCTGAGATTTCCATAGAGAAAGTTGCTTTGTCCCTGTAACTTTCAGCCCCTAGGACAGTGGGGAAATGTAGTCAGAGTCCTGATGGGAGATTCGTCACACACAGAGCCTTTCGGCCTCAGAGAGCTTGGTCCCGGATCAAGACATTGATAGGAAAGGCCCTGGTCAGAACAGGAGCTCTGCCTTTGCTGGGAAGGGGACCCCCTTCTCTCCAAATCCTTTTTTTTTTTTTTTTAAGTAACAGTTTAATTGTAGGCTAGCAGGTGGCATGTGGTTAAGGAGCTGTATTGCCACAAGGCCGATGACAGTTCAAGTCCTGGACCTGGTGTCTTGCTTTCTCACTTTCTGTTTTTCTATCTCTCTGGTGAATGCACATGTCCTATAGCAAATTAAAATAATAATAATAAATAAAATTAAATAATTTTTAAAAAAGTTTAATTGAAGTATAATTCATATGCTATACCATGTATCCATTTAACTAATGTGAACAATTCAGTATTTTGAGTATATTCAGAGTTGTATAACCATCATTACAATAAATTTTAGAACAGTTTCATCACCTCCCAAAAGGTAACCTTGTGCTCATTAATCACTCCCTTCCCTACCTCAACATCTTTCCTCCAGCCTTAGACAACCACCAATCTACTGTCTCTATAGATTTGTCAATCCTAGACATTTTGTATGAATGAAGTGATACGTGGTCTCTTATGACTGACTTTTTAAAAGAATTATTTATTTAATTCCATTTGTCATTACTATTTTTCAGTTTGACTAGAGAGAGACAGAGACAGAAAGGGAAAGTGAGAAAGCAAGCTGCCAGGTCCAGGACTCGAACCACAGTTGGCCCTGTGGGAATTCAGTGCCTCTTACTACTGTGCCACCTGCCACCCCCTCTGTGGCATATTTCTAAGGTCGTCCATGTTGTAACATGTATCATAGCTTCATTCCTTTTTTGTGGCTGCATAATATTCTATTGAATAGATATACCACATTTTCTTTATCTCTTCATCGGTTGATAGCCAGGTCATTTCCACTATTTGTCTCTTATGAACATGTTGCCATGAAGTCATGTATGTACACATGTTTTTATTACTCTTAGGTCTATTCATAGGGGTGCAGTTGCTGGGTCAGATCATTATTGTTCCTTCGTTCCTGGCACCTATCTCCATTTCAGAACTTCCTGTACTTACCATAAGCACTCACAGGTCTGCTCACTTTCATACTTGTTTTTTTTTTTTTTTAGTTTTCTTTCTTTTTTTTAAATCTTGCATAGCCCTGTGGAACTTGGCACATACAAAACATCAAATCAGTGTGTGGGAGGGCTACGCTGTGGCCAGTGCTACTCACACAGTCAGATGAGGCCTGAAGACTGACTTTGCAAATGGCAGAGAAGGGGGGTCACTGTCCTGCAATAATTTTTCTCTAAAGCAGAAGATAAACATAGGTTCTAAAAAGGTATGCAGCTTTTCTTCTTCTTCTTCTTCTTCTTCTTCTTCTTCTTCTTCTTCTTATTTTTGTTATAGGGTGCGTGCACTTATCAGACAGACAGAGAGAAAACAAGAAATCAACCCCCAGGGAGAATGGCCACGCCGCAGTCCCTTCTCTTCCATTTTCCTCTCGGGATTTTGGGTACACAAACACATGCACCCAGCCTGAGTTTTAAGCCCCCGGGTTTGGAACTTGAACCACAGTTGATTACATGAGAGTCCAGTTACACCATCTGTTGGTCCCAACAACTTTTATTTTTCTAACGGGAGAAAATGGTCAAACCACCTCATTATGTTTGTACATATTTTACAGTTATTTACATAATTTTACATTTATTTATGTACATCTCTACAATAAAAACAGTTTAGACACCAAGTTATACAAGGTGTTGGTAACAGTAAAAACAGATTTTGTTCTTAGTTAATATTTCTTCTTAAAAAAATCAGCTGCTGGTGAAGTATTGCTGCTGGTTAAGACTTCCAAGGTGTCTTCGAAGAGATGTAATACTCAAACGAGAGATGGCTTTTTAGAATTATTTAAATAATCTAGATATTCTTTCTTTCATCTTCTGTTACCAGTCAACTGGCGCTATAAAAAAAAAAAATTGCATCCGTAATTTGTAAAGTGTAGTCAATCTGTACTGCATATTAGGAGTCTTAATTACCCTCCTGTTTTAATGTAAGTAGCCCTTTGGTAATAAACTCACATGGCCAGCACTAGGGAGCAGAGACAGAGGGAGAATGGCCTTGACTCCTCAACGAATGGCAGCCTGACCCCCACCAGAAGTACTGCCTTCAGTATACAGCACGAACTAGCAGTCTCAAGTTTCCTTCCCACTTTGAACTTCTCTTCCTGTTTAGTCACTTCTGTGCTGATGACAGGACAGTCTTGGGCTATGCCAGAAGAAATCAGCCAAAAACCACCACTGCAGCCCTGTTAGGGCAAGCCTCCTCAAACTGGCTGTCCCTGGGCTGCCGTTGTAACACGACTAAGTACTGTGCACTGGGAGCTGGATCCCACATGGCTGCTCATCGTCCAAATCTCAGTGCTGGTAGCTTGAAAAACATGCCGGGCACATACGTGTGCATGCCCCAAATCCCAACAGGATGAAGAAATAGAAGAAAAAGTATTGTGGAGTAACCACACCCCAATGGGGAGTACCTTCTTCCTCTCCCCCCGTCTCTCTCTGGCGAGCGCACATACCCTCTGGCAATTAAAAAAGAAACACAACAAAAACTGACAGTCCACTTCTTGGCCTTTTGCCTTCTGCGCAGTCTGTGTGTGCTCAGAGAGCCCAGAGATTAAGCTAGCTGAGCTGTCCCTTGGAATCCCTTGCCCCTAGGACTTCTGCCATAGCTGGTTTCCCCAGGTAATCTGGGCATTGTTCCACCTGGCAGCTGAGGAGAAGAAACCCCACAGCCATCATCAGTTCCCACCGAGGCCTTTGCTGCTGCTAAGTTCTGCCTTCATCCCCACACCAACCACAGGGCCTCAGTGAACAAGCCAAAGGGCTTGGCCACTCATCCTCCTCTGTGCCTCGGCGGCTTTAGCACGTAGACTCTTCTGTCCTCCCTCAGGGTCCCTAGCACGGAGCTACACTGGTTCTCCTCCTGGACTTCACCTCCCTAGTCCTGGCTCCTCTGCCTCTTTCTACCATCTGAGGGCTTCTGGCTGCTTTTTCTTGGTGACCCTACATGCTCAGGACATCAACTACTGTCCTGAGGTGAATGTTCCCAAACTAGCCCCACCCTGAAACCCTGCATCTTCAATTCTGTGCATGGGCATCACTACCCAAGTAACATGCCAGCACCCCAAACTGAACGTGTCAGAGCAAAATGCGTTTCTCTTCCGAAGCAAGCTCCCTGACTCCTCTATAGCTGGTAATACCACCTTCTGGGCACCAAGGTCAAAATTCTTGTCATTTTAGCATCTTTATTGAATAATAATAATAATAATAGCTGACATTTATGGAACACTATTATAAGCCAGTCACTATTTGCAACATTTTACCTATGCGAACATCTTTTTTTTTTTAAAGTTTTTGCCATAGGGTACATGTACTTGTCAAAGAGGGAAAGA